ATAATATAATATTATTCTTCTTTTAGACATTTCAGAGATATGTTTATTGAACGGCCGCTTATTATATTTTTACAATTAAAATTAAAAATTATTTATTGCGCAGATCGAAGTAATATTTTGTTTGTTAAGCACAGCAGATAATTATATTATTTGTTTATCAATTATATTATTAATTAGACAAATAAATTCGTTCTATAACAGAATATATTTATTTGAATAGTATTTGTTTATTAAATAAATAAATTCAATAGCAACAGGCGTTTAATGCGATAATATTCCTTTATTAATTATATTATTAATTAATTAAATTAATTTAATTATAACAAACCATATTCTATTAATTAAGTAAACAAATGCAATAACAACAAGTATTTAATACGATAATGTTTGTTTACTAATTATATTAATAATTAAATAGATAAATGCAATAACAACAATTCATAATTAAATTTATTTAATTAATAGTACACAAATTATATTATTAATTATATTATTAATTATATTATTAATTATATTACAAATTATATTATTAATTATATTACTAATTATATTATTAATTATATTATTAATTACATTATTAATTATATTATTAATTATATTATTAATTAAATTATTAATTATATTATTAATTATATTATTAATTATATTATTAATTAAATTGAATTAAATTATTTATAACAAACCATATTCTATTCTTTCTTCTGGAGACATCATCGCCAGCGTCCGTCCCTCTTCCTTTAACACATCTTTGTCTTGTGCTGCTCTGAATATAATAAATGAGTTTTGTTTATTTTGTTTATTTGTTTATTTAACTTATTTATTTATATTTATTTATTTATTTATTTTATTTATATTTTTATTTTTGCTGTCTGATGTGAATGCGTTTTATTTATTTTACTGGTTTTGTTTGTTTCCTACTTTTTCATGTTTTGCTTTTTATTTACTAATTTAATTTAATTTAATTTAATTTAATTTAATTTAATTTAATTTAATTAGTTTATTAATTAGTTTAATTAATTAATTAATTAATTGTATATTTACTGTATTTCTCTCTTCTCCGCCTCTCTCTCTTCGTGAAATGCACTGCAAGGACTGGTGAGACCAGCGAGTGCGTCTTGTTTACCTGTGTGTTTAGATAAATATAGATAAATATTATTTCTTTTGTTTGTTGTTTGTTATATTTTGTTGTTTGTTTGTTTGTTTGTTTTATTGTATTGGTTGTTTTGTGTTGTTTGTTTCTTTGTTTGCTTGTTTGTTTGTTTGTTTTATTTTCTTTGTCATTTCTCTTTGCTCGTTTGTTCGTTTGTTTGTTTTTTGTTTGTTTATTTGTTATTTGTTTTATTTTGCTGTTTATTTGTTGTTTATTTGTTTGTTTTTTATTTATGTTTGTTTGCTTGCCCTTTGCGTTTAATTTGTTTGCCTCATTCCGCTTTTCATCGTCTTCTGTCTTCGCAACAATCACCAAAGGTGCGTCCTTCAGATCTACAAATAAATGCATGCATTTAAATAAAATTTAAATAAATGCATGCATTTAAATAAATGCATGCATTTAATTGTATTCATATTATATAAATACAAATATAAATAAATACAAATATAATTAAATACTAATATAAATAAATGCAAATAAAAATAAACGCAAATATAGTTAAATACAAATATAATTAAATACAAATATAAATAAATGCATGCATATAAATAAATGCATACAAATAAATGCACACATATAAATAAGTGCATGCATATAAATAAAAACATACATACAAATAAATGCAGCATTAGGGTTTGTGTATTTAATATATTTTATTTTGTGCTGTGAATAATAAAGAAGACTGACCTGGATGTAAACTATCGAATAGCTGGCGTGTCTGCGATGTCAGTACAGACAGCTGATGCATTAATTGTAATCTTTCAGCCTTTAACTCTGCTGTATTCTGAGCGAGAGGAACAGCTAAGTCTGTCTCCATCTCCCCGTACGTGCTGAACAACACACACGCATACACCAATAGCAACAGCAACAGCAGCAGCAGCAGCAGCAACTGCAGCAACAGCAGCAGCAACTGCAGCAGCAGCAGCAACTGCAGCAACAGCAGCAGCAGCAGCAGCGGAACGCTGCTTGCATGAAGAAGAAAGATATTTGTTTTACTCCTTTAGAGCCTTAACGAGGTCCTTTGCTCCTGTTCATACCAACGGAAATGCATTATATTGAGATGTTTTTAACAAACTTTTAAAATAAATTATCTTCTTCTTCTCACCTTCAGCGGCGTCGCTCGTTTCCCTAGCGCGGGCCAACGCCTAAAATGCAATCAAACGAAAAATTAAATAAAAAACACAAATATGCATTAAAAATAAATTTATTTAAACACAAATAAATTTAAACAGATGATATACTTTAACATTGTAAAACACTGAGAAAAATATTAATATTAAAAATATATTTTTAAATATATTTTTAAATATATATATAATTTATTAATGAAAGCACAAAAAACAGTACAAACATTAAAAATATAAATGCATCAAAAATATAAATGCATTAAAAACATAAATAAACATAAAACAGAGTTATAAAACAAAAATTAGTAGGCATTGCAGAGGTAATCCGTAATAATAAAAATAATAATACACACAAAAATAAACAAACAAGGAAGTAAATAAAAAAGTAATATAGCGAAAAGAAAGAAACAAACAAACTCTAACAAATCCAGAAATAAGCAATCAGCACAAATAGACTATACCCATAAATAAACAGCTAATTTATTATATAAACAAACAACACAAAAAAAACAATCTGCATTCATCTGCTACCTTCTCAGCAGCTGCTTCTTCAGGTGTGGGAGCAGGCGCTACGCCTTGGACTGAGATTTGTCGTTCTTATTAATCGCTTTGTTGCTTCGAGCTCCTTCGAATGAAAGATAAAGAGAGGAGGGGTGAGAGAGACAGAGAGAGAGACTCAGTGGGGAAGAGACGGACAGTCACACGGACAGAGGGTGAGAGAAAGAGAGAGGAGGAGGGAAAGAAAGAAAAAGAAAGACAAAGAAGGAAGAAAAAAGAGAGAGAGGGAGGGAGAGAGAGCGAGAGAGAGAGAGAGAGAGAGCGAAAGAGAGACCGAGAAATAAATGGATGAACAAATAAATAAATAGAGAGG